TACAACTTATAATGCTGTTTTCAAACGTGTCTTGAGTGAATTTAAAAAGATAGGTTGCTTTTTGTAAGATCAATAGATTTTAATGTGTAGTACTTTTGATTTTCTTAAGTATTTTTAAAACCAGGTACTTTTTTACTTTTACTTGAGTAGGTTTATACTGGATGACTTTTACGTGAGTAACATTTTTTGTGTGGTATCTGTACTTTTACTTAAGCATGAAAATTGAGTACTTCTTCCACCACTGCCTAAATGTTAATTTTCAGTCTTTCAACCACAATTGGAGCACATTTTAATAGCATGAATGGATTTGTCATGTTGTTGCTTTATGAAGTTCATTTAGAACAATGTTTGAAACACTTTTAAGTGTGTTAAATGGATTAGGCTATTCTCATTTTTGAAGCCGACTACGCCAAACTGAATATTTCGCTTGCACATATTTACATACTGTCATGCACATACATACATACTATCATTTTTAAGTATGTATGTATGCGCAAGATTAGTATGTATAAATGCGCAAGGTTATGGATGTAAGCGAGGTTAAGCAGGGTGCGAACTACAGGCTCCCCTAAAAGCCACGATTTGTGATATTTTGAGGGTCTCTAAAATAGATCATGGATCCATGCGTAAAATCAGGAGCGTCAGACTTCATCCTGCCAGAGAGAACGATCTCCTGCCCCTGGCCCTGTATGCGCCACCGTCCCACTCCCTCTCCGGTACGGATTGTGACTCTAGTACGACCGATATGCTGTGAACGGTTCGTGATTGTTCCCTCTGGCTGGATGAATATTACGCATGATCCATGTACTACTGCAGCTGGGGGCTCCCCACAGGGTCAAGCAACTTTCTAAATTCTTCCCTCTCACAGAGAAAGGTCAGGTCTCAAAGCTGCAGCTGTTGTGTGAAGTGTATCCTAATTGTAGCAAAATGCCTGATACTTTCACAGCCAGCCCCAGGCCTACATGATTGCAGCTATTAATGATACAGCAGTAACAATCACAGTGATCTCCCCGAAGGCTATCGTATAGTCCACACACTGAGAATAAGTATGAATATATGTGCAAACTGAGTATGTATATATATGTGCTAGGTGAGTATTTATGTTTGTGCGAGTTAGAGTATGAATACATGTTCGAGGAATGGTAGTACAGTGGTTAATGCTCTTTCCTTTTGGTGTTGGAGACCCAGGATCGATTCCCACTCACTGCATCTGTCATTGCAGCAGGTCTGGGGATTATGGGGACATTGATAAGAAGGTGAGACAATGTTAGCTATCGAACTATGATTCTTATCTCTGTGAGATTGTCAAATGATTAATGTTGTTCATTGTCTTTATATTTTCAGATGAATGTAACTTAAGCTGTGCCCTTATATGGAGACCTAACGATATTAACAGGTCCTGCTGTCTGTCAGCCTCTCAGCTCCACAGGAGCCACTGCTGAGTTTGTTAACCCCGAGAATAAGGAAATATTGCATTTTCAGTTCTAGCAAGAGCAACTTTAACTTGCTATGTACATGGAAGAGGAAAGTTATTTACTGCTTGATAAGTCTTTTATGTGGAAGTGTCGACACACAGCCAAGCTGAAGGAATAAGGCTAAAATTATTTTCATAGACGACATAAGCACACATCAATCAAATCAAGGCATTATTATGTATTACTCCTGTTCATTTAGGCATTCAGACTGTCAGCGATCATGTGTCTCATGTGTCAGCTGCAGCTGTGCTACTTAGTCGTATTTCTGTAATATCACAGTTTGCTCTTCATTTGTAAAATATGAAGCTCTGCTGCAAGTGGACATCTGGTCATCTGCTGCTAACACCGCCTCTTTTATGTGACCGTGCTCACGGCTAGATTGGGAAATCCTGGGTTGACTTACCAAATTGATAATCAGCTTTGTGGGACAGCTAATCCCGATCCCGATTGTTAGGGTTAGTGAAACCAGATAACGTACAGTTATCAGCCGGGGTGAATGTTGAACTCGCTTCGTGGTACAGGCCCCAGGTTTGTCTAGCTGTGTGCTCACATACTGTCACTAAACAAGTTACTGTGAATGATTTGCTCTTGCTTTTAAAGGCATCATATATTCTTTGTTGCAGCATTGAATAGCTGTCACACTCACACTATCTGACGTTTTTGCTTGGCAAACTAGCTACAGTAGGCTAATGTTAACATTAATCAACCAGTGTTAGCAGCTCTTGTAATCCTGGTCAATAAGAGAAGCCAGCTCTTGTACCAGTGCAAAATATGATCTAAAGTTGGACTGGATATGTGCTGACTCAGCAGGGATGAGAAAAGTTGATCGACAGGAGAACTGAAAGCAACACAGAATGACTAAGAGCTGCACTGCATTAGATTCTGTTAGGGGTTTAGATTTTGAATTGTCACCTGCCATGAGTTTTGTGTTTCCTTTAATATAAATAAAAACATTTCCACCATAAATTGATGCAGGAAATGCAGAAATTGTTGCCGAAAATTCACCAAATGCAGGAAATTATGTGTTTGTTGAACAAAATGTACTGGGGGAGGACACCAAACCCTCTACCACGCATATATTTCAGCATTCATGTCATTGTATATAAAATACAACAAAAGGCAATTCAGAGCAAAACACTGAACTTAGCAGCTTTAATTAATTTGGCCAGCAGGCGCCTCTTGACCACTGCTGTAGGTGAAATGTGAGTCGCGCATTTTAAACAAATAAAGCACAGGGAGGCGTCACATAGGCCCACGGGCACTGAACTATGTAAATACAAATCCTCTCCCCCTGTAATATGTCTGCACAACACAAACCTGGAGGAATGCATATGTAAATATCTGCCAAGTTGTTACAGTTCTATTATTCTTTTAGAACTTGCATCTGTTTATATATTATTTATATTTTTCATTTATTTACACCGAGTGGGCCACACAGTAATGACTACAGTATATACTTGCTAAATATTGCACAGTTTAAACAAAAATCTGCCTCTACACTCACTACTTAATTTATTTGTCCGTGATTTGCTAACGTTACATTGTGAACAATAATTGTGTTGAAATCATGAAAAGTCCACTCTCTGTGAGCTACTACACAAACGCACACATGGAGCCAAGGGGCATAGCACAAAATCCTGAGCCCTGTGGGCATTCTCATGGGCCACTCCCCACGTCCACGTCTAGTAATTCTAGTATCTCTGTGTACAGTGGGAGGGGGTACACTATGTATACTGTATAGTATATACAGTATACACTGCCATGTGCCAGCATACTTTAAAGCTTCCACCATCATCCCTGTCCCCCAAAAAAACAAACCAAAAAGCAAGGACCACAGGACTAAACGACTACAGACCTGTTGCCCTGAGATCTGTGGTTATGAAGTCTTTTTAGTGCCTTGTGTTGTCCCACCTAAAATCCATCACAGACCCACTCCTGGACCCCTGCAGTTCGCCCACAGAGCCAACATGTCTGTAGATGATGCAGTAAACATGGCCCTTCACTACATCCTCCAGCACCTGGACTGCCCAGGAACCTACGCCAGGATCCTGTTTGTGGATTCAGCTCTGCTTTCAACACCATCATCTCAGCCATGCTGCAGGACAAGCTCTCTCAGCTGAGCTTGCCTGACTCCACCTGCAGGCGGATCACAGACTTCCTGACGGACAGGAAGCAGCACATGAAGCTGGGAAAACATGTCTCTGACTCCAGGGCCATCAGCACCGGTTCCCCTCAGGGCTATGTTCCTCACCCTCTGCTCTTTTCCCTGTACACCAACAACTGCACCTCCAGTCACCAGTCTGTCAAGCTCCTGAAGTTTGCAGACTACACCACGCTCATTGGGCTCATCTCTGGTGAGGATGAGTCCACCTACAGGTGGGAGATCGACCATCTGGTGACCTGGTGCAGCCAGAACAGTCTGGAGATTTTAGAAAGAGCGCAGCCCCAGCGTATCATCCTATCACCCCATCATCTTGGATGACTATGCAGTCACCACTGTGGACTCCTTCTGCTTCCTGGGCACCATCATCTCCCAGGACCTCAGGCGGGAGCTAAACATCACCTCCCTGGCCTAACCCTAAATAGCCCAGCAGAGGATGTACTTCTTGCAGCAAGGATGGTGGTATCATCTGGTCTGGTAAGCTGCTGCCACCACCAGGGACTAGGGCAGGCTGTAGCGTATCATTCTGTCTGCAGAGAAAGGGGTTGGTTGTCACCTTCCATCTCTTCAGGACCTGTACGACTCCAGGACTCTGAGGCATGCAGGAAAGATTGTGGCTGACCCCTCCCACCCTACACACGAACTGTTTCAGACACTCCCCTCTGGCAGGAGACTGCGGGTCCATCAGGACCAAAACCTCTCACCACAGAAACAGCTTCTTTCTGATTGCAGTGGGCTTCCTCAACAAGGCCCAGGTCGCCACACTGACTGTCATGCTCTCCTCCCCAAACACACACACACACATGCACACACACTCCTGACCCCACACTTTACAACAACGCTCAACTGTCTTATACTTTTTGATGTCCTTACTTTTTATATATTTATATTTATGTTCATGTGTACCGTAAGCACCAATTTATACCTTATACCAAGGCAAATTCCTCCTACGTAAAAATGTACCTGCCAATAATTCTGATTCTGATATAGAGACTTTCTTGTTGTAAAAATTACTGTTGCTGCTGTAGAAATACATTTATTTATTAGATTTTTTATGTAGCTATCCTGATAATGAGTAAAATAAATAAGATGTGTTTATACAAAATATGTGAATAAAAAAAAAAGATGTAGGATTCTGGATGGACTGACACATTTGGTACATCCCAGAGAATTTTCAATACTTTGTTGCCAGTGCCAGAAATTGTTGTTTTGTGTGTGTGCGTGTGAACAGCTTTATATATAGATGGATTCGAGGTCCTGCAACTCCTGGCTAGTTTGGGAAACCGCATTTCTAAACTTTCTTTTATTTATTTATTGTTAAACTCTCTTTTATTTTGGCATTCAGCCGGATGTTGTGGGTGACGTCATTGTGTGCGCGTGTCTACCCTCTTCCCACACACGTGAAGTCAGAGAAGACTACTTGGGTGAAGCTATGTCGAAAGCTAGTACGTATTTTGCTCGGCATGGACTGAATGTGTTCACTCTCTAAATAACTGTAGATGACGTTAATGGTTTCTGTCGTTTCTTACATTTTACAGAACAAAAACGAGCCAAACGTCTCGGTTTCCTCGGAAAATGTAAGGTAGGCGCTACTCGGCCTGCTGCCTGTGGGTCCTCGCGTTAATGCTGGAGCTACGAGCACCTCGGCTGTCATTTGCTTTTCTGTGTCTGTCCCTTCTTTTTTACTGTCTAAGGCTATGGTCTGTCCAAGTTAAAACAGTGTTGCGTTCCCAACTCTGTGTTTCTAACAGTTAACTTAGTTCATCCTTTACTTTCAAAAAAATATCATAGTCTGATGTCAGGGCAACCCAAATCCTTGAAGGTAACGTAAGCAGGAATACACTGATGTATCGTCCAGCTCCATGTTAAGGGATATTGTGATGGATGCTTACACAGTGTCAGTGGCACAGACTGGTGCATTGGCCAGGCCCCTCTACGGACAAAGCATTTGTCGGGGCCTCGGTGTGTTTATGGACTTTTATTCTTGCATTCTTGAGAATTGTATGCAAGTACAGTACATCACGAAATGAGCTCTTAACGAGAAACATCTATCCAGCTTCACTCAAGTAAAGTTTTCCCCTCAGCGAGTCCTTGAGTACAATAAATAAATAGTGTAACATTACATACAAGTAGTGTTGCCAACTTTGTCACTATGAAATAAGGGACAAAAGGTAGCCTGCTGCAGCAGTGCGGGAATGGTTTTGTGTGAATATACAGTGTATTGTTTAAAGCAATTTGTTATAATGATAGCTAATCTTTTAATTGAATATTTGGTAGCTTTAATAATAGTTATTTACAGCAGGTACATTTAACACAGCCCTTTAATTAAACCACTACCTGTTATCTTTACTATTTGTCTAATACTTAACACTTGTGACTCTTGCACTGTAGGTTTAGAAAAGGTTATCCCCTTCATGTACATATGACAAACTAAAAAGAACATATTTACTTAATGTGTTTGATTTCCAGTTAATGCTTTTTCAGTCAGTTAATCAGAACTTGATGAATACCATTTGCAGTTTCATCACTATCTTCATAATAGTCAAGTAACTTGCACCGCACTCATCAGAAAAATCTGTGTTACGACAGACTGTGATTCTTACTGCAGAATCATTAATAGCTGCAAGCATGTAGGCCTGGGGATGACTGTAAAAGTATCAGGTATGTTTGTCTTATTATTATAATGATGATGATAATTATTATTATAATAATAGCTGCGGCTGTGTTTATGACCTGACCTTTTATTTTCTCCATGAGAGTGTAGAATTTAGAAAGTCGCGTGGCACTGTGGAGAGCCCCCAGCTGCAGTAGTGCATGGATTATGCATAATATTCATCCAGCCAGAGGGAACGATCACGAACCGTTCACAGCGCATTGGTCCTAATAGTGACACAACCTGTACTGGAGAAGGAGTGGGGCGGTGGAGTGTACAGGGCGAGGGACAGGAGATTGCGGAGCGACTGGCCCGCTGCGGACAGTCGGTGATTGTTTTCTCTGCTCTGCATGATACATGATGATAGATAAATATAGGGATCTTAGGGATCTGTCAATAAAGCATGCTGTCAATATTTTAGAGCCCCCCCCCCCCCCCCCCCCCCAAAGAAATATCACAAATCATGCTTTTAGCGGAGCTGATGTCTTATGAAGAGGAGCTGCCCCTGGCTCCCCCGTAGTTCGCACCCTGAGCGTAGTAGTGAAAAAACAGAACAAGAGAGGTCACGTATAGGACACCTCAATTAGGCCTTATATAAGGGACATCCCGGCTAATACGGAACTGTTGGCAACCCTACAGACAAGCCTCGTGGCTTTCAGGACCATGTATCTGTGATTTAAACAATAATAGATCACTGATGCAGTACAATCTCTCTTTACTGTAGGACCATTTTTTTGCCATTGTACAACTGTACAATTAAGATCAGATAATGTCAAATATATACTGAGTATATGGAAACGATATCACATGCTAAAGCACACACACTTAGCAGAGAAGGTCCGGTACAGATCTGTTGCACTACAGAATTGGTGATTAGAATTTGTATTGTTTAATCAGTTAAATGTGTAAGTTTCCTTTTTTAATTTCACAAATGTGGTGATACATTGAGTGTTTTAAAACATTTTTTTTTTACAATATGTTTGGCGTGTTTTCTTGTCTGTAGACTGCAGATGGAGGAAAGGGTGGTGCTTCAGGGCGGACAAAGAATTCACAGCAATCATCCGGGCAGCATGTTAAAGACCACAGAAACCCAGAAGAAATCAGGAAAAAGAGGGTGAACATTTGAAAGTCTTCCCCACACTCATATTTAAGGCTACAGTGCTGATATTTTGTTTGAGGTCAAACAGTCTCTCAAAACACATCTTTCATTTTAGCTTCAGGAACTCCAGGAAAAGCAGAAAACCTCTAGAGAACGAGAGCTGATGAAGAGGAGGAATTTGAAAAGCTTTCAGGATGACATCCTGCAGCGACAGAGAGAGTTTGAGCAGAGGGTAAATGTCAGCCTATTTTGTGGCAGTTAATATCACTGCATAGTATTAAAGTTGCTGTTGTAGTGATGTCTGTTTCCTTCTCTGTTTACAGGAGACAGAGATGCTGAGTTTGGAGAAGCATGTTAATTTTGAAAATGAGAATTCAAGAAAGGCATATTACAGAGAATTTAAAAAGGTATATACCTGCTCCATACATGCCACAGACTGGCCCATATCTGATGATTACAATTTTAGAGGCCTATACATAGATGTGTCACTCTGCAATTTTAGAACCCATTTAAAACACATGAATGTTGGAGAATAGTTATTTAATGACGCCGCTACCACAAATAAGGTAATTGCCTTTTAGTAAATGCATTTACTCTCACATGGTGGATTAAATATCTCAGTCTTCAGTAAAAACATGGTACAATCTACTTTCTATATCTTGCCTTCACCTATATTAGAAACATAATAGAACATGTGTTTCTCCTATACTGTATGATTGGGCTTTTATTTCAAAAAGACCTTAGTTTCCTGTTAACATTGTAACATGAACACTGTGTTTTAAAAACATGTTTTTTTTTTTTTTTTTTAAAGGTAGTGGAGGCCTCAGATGTGATTTTGGAGGTTTTGGATGCACGTGACCCTCTTGGCTGCAGATGTCCCCAGGTGGAGCAGGCTGTCATTCAAAGTGGAACGAACAAGAAAATAGTTTTAGTGCTGAATAAAATTGGTAAGTTGGATAAATACAACTTTAAAAAGTACAGTACTGAGCAAAATGTTTTAGGCAGGTGTGGAAAAATGCTTTCAAAAATATGTTGACATGTCCAAAGTGAATGAACAGAAGAAAAATGTAAACCAAATCAACATTTGTTGTTACCGCTCTTTGCCATCAGTTATTCTAGGATCTGTGGAGGCCATACCATCACCCACAGGACTCTCTCGCTCATTGTCATGCCACAGAATACATTTAGGCCCAAGCAGATACCTCCCTGACGCTATTGCATGGTGAATACATGGCACCAAACTTGCAAGGAACCACCACCATTTTTAACTGTTGCCTGCAGTTATTCATTCTTGTACTGTTCTCCAGCTCTTCAATGAACAAACTGCATGCTACAGCCAAATATAAAGTGTTTCACTCATCAGCCCAGAGCACCTGCTGCCAGTTTTCTGCACCCCAGTTCCTGTGTTTTATGCATAGTTGAGTCACTTGGCTTTGTTTCCAAGTCGGACAGTGTTTCCCATTAATTAACGAGACCATGGCGGCCGGCCACAGTCTAATTTGTTCCGCCATAGTTTCAAAATGAACAGAATTATTATTATTATTTTTTATTTTATTTTATTTTTTTACACATTTCCTAATAACATTACAGACCTAACATTGTTTTGTTGGCGCTTCTGTAAGCTCGCATGCTCACACACTTTGGCACCCGACTCGACAGTCTCTTAAAATCCTGTGGGAAACACTGTCGGAGGTATGGCTGTTAACCCCAAGTCTTCCATGAAGGTGACTTCTGAGCAGACTTCTCCGGACTGTAGATAGGTGTACCTTTGGGTTCACTGCTGGACATCTTCCGATTGCAAAGAGAAGTAAGCGTGATGTGTCCTCCTTCAAAAGAGCATTTACAGCACATCTGGAAACATTGGTCTGTCTGGGAGATACCTCGCTGATGTAGTAATACTACCTTGTGTCTTGTTTTTGCGGTGCTCAGTCAGGTATATGACTTTTGACAGTAAACTGTCCTCAGCAGCCTCACCTTGTTAGCCGAGTTTGACCCAGTTGTATTCCTCCTACACAACTGTTTCAGTTAATGAGTGTGGTTCAACCTATAGGTTATACAAATCATACCAAACAAGTGATCAAGAGCACCTGTTTGGTATAATTGTTTAATCGTACACCTGACGATATGCCTACAAAATCCCTGACTTTGTGCTAGTGTACCTGAACTGATGCTGTTTTGAAGGCAACTAAAAGTAATTTAATTTAGATTTACTCAGTTTACATTTTGTTAATTTATAAATATAATCTATTAACATGTTTGTTTTTGCACTCTTACTTTACAGCATTTTTTTTCCACATCTGCCTTAAACCTTTCCACAGTACTGTGTATCTTTTGGGAACTGTCGTTATTCGTTATAGAAAGTAGGCACAACCATATTCAGTAATATCAATTACTGTGATTACAGATTTGGTGTCAAAGGAAATTGTGGAAAAGTGGATTAAATATCTTCGTAATGAGTTCCCTACTGTGGCTTTCAAAGCATCTACTCAGCAACAGACTAAGAACTTGGTATGAAGTAAAATCTTCTAAAATGCTAATTGAGATTAAAATAATTAAAGCTATAGAATAACATCATTTCACATAAACACTAAACAGTTTTCTCCTCTGTCTCATGCCATGGACAGAAACGCAGTAATGTACCAGTGACGCAAGCCACCACAGAGCTTCTTAGCACTAGTGCTTGTGTCGGTGCAGATTGTTTGATGAAGCTACTCGGCAACTACTGCCGCAACCTAGACATAAAGACGGCCATCACTGTAGGTGTTGTAGGTAAGCAAACATCACATCAGTAATGGTTCTCTCTATGTATAATGCACAGTTGTCCAAAGTTAAATCATGTTGTCACTCCTGTAGGTTTTCCTAACGTGGGGAAGAGTAGTTTGATCAACAGTTTGAAACGGGCACGAGCGTGTAGTGTTGGAGCCACTCCTGGTGTCACCAAGTAAGTATATAGGAAGTTGCTGATCCTGTGAAATCCTGCTTGTTTTTATTAGTCTTGCTGATGGTGTTGATGAATTTCAGGTGCCTTCAGAGGTTCATTTGGATAAACACATTAAGCTACTAGATTGCCCAGGCATTGTCATGGCAACCTCAACGACTGATGCAGCAATGATACTTCGTAACTGTGTGAAAATCGAACAGCTTGTGGATCCCTTTCCACCTGTTGAAGCCATCCTTCGACGCTGCAACAAGGCGCAGGTATGTCATGTCATTCTTACAATCTTTTTGCATGTTGCTTGATTGTGTCACGCTGCCATTCCAGTAATTTTGCTGGATGTGCAGATCATGGAGCACTACGGAGTTCAAGACTTTCACACAGCTCTGGAGTTCTTGGCATTGCTTGCTCGACGTCAAGGCAAACTAAGAAAAGGAGGACTGCCTGACACTGACAAAGCTGCTAAGAGTGTGTTAATGGACTGGACAGGGTGGGTAAAAATGATGATTTTGGAAGTTTTACAAATGACAATCAGCCAGTGTTTTTAACACTGTTAATTTCTGCATGTTATGTTCTTTAGGGGAAGGATCAGCTACTTCACGCACCCTCCAGAGACCCACACTCTGCCCACGCACGTCAGCGCTGAGATTGTTACGGAGATGGGTAAAGCTTTTGACTGGGATGAGCTGGAAAAAGGAAATCAGGAGGTTCTTGCAGGTAAAATAAAGGGTCATTCCACCCAAATCACAAAAAAAGTTGTATCTTGAAACAGTGTCCTAGTTATTCAGCATAATCCACAGACCTAGGATAGTTAAATGTTGTTGAAGTACATTCAGTAGACACTTTTTTGGTGGGGATAGGAAGGCTGGGGCTCCTAAGATTTCCTTGTTTTTTTTCAGATTATACTCAAAGTCATTGCTCAAGAGTTAGATTTTCTGTTTGCTGTGTTTCAGGGTCATCTTGTCCCGATATCCAAATGGGATTCTGCATGGAAACCACTGGAATGACACAAGGTGGCCTGGGTGAACCAACTTCTGACCTGGAAATGGTAGGGGGGTCTTTGGAAGAGCCAGAATTTAAAGATGAAACTGAATCTATGGAGGATGACCAGGACCCAGAGGTGTGAAACAGTGCAATCCTTACAACTAAGTGTTTACTGAATGACAGTAAGTTACTTTATATCTGTAAAATGTGGTTCTTAAATTAACTTTGTGTCCTAGTTTGGACCGATGACAGTGGAGATAAAATCTCAGAAATCAAAGACCGACTCCCCTGCAAATGATGCTGCATCCAGGGCTCCAGGTTTAAAGGATATCTTTAACATAGATCCTCTACAGCAGGGCCAGGCACTCCTGGCTGCCAGGAAGAACAGGAAAAAGCAACAGAAAAGAGCTGGTTTGTATAAATATCAGTCTCAGTCAAATATTGTTTTAAATATTGTTATTATCATTTTATCTGAGTTGTGTTCATGCTATGATTTCATAAGAATGTATTTTTTCCTAATCTAGGGAAAAGTAAAATAACATTAACGTCATGTTAGTTTTGTCAAACAGGCCTCATTTTACTCAGTTTTGATTGAAGCAAAAGTTAAAAAAGAAAGTGTTCAAGATAGGCTTCATCAGTTCATAGTGGGGATATTATACGCCAGTGTTAAAGTGGCTAAGTGGGCCTGATATGTGGCCTTATGCAACAGAAACGTCTATTCCGCGTAAAAGGTTCTATTCTTACATAATGTTTATTTTGTATACCATATGCAGCTGATGGTTAAAACATGTGCATCAGTAATATAATGTTATCACACAGGGAGGCTTCTTTTGGGAGTAATGTTTCCACCTGACACAGATTATTTATACTTGTTAAAGCACTTTGTAACTTGTTTTTAAAAAGTGCTCTACAAATAAGGATTATTATTATATTATATTTAATCATGCAAAAGAATTGAAACATGTCTTTTTTCTTTTTTTTTTTCCCAAATGCAGACAAAATTGCCACCAAACTCTCAGACACCTTGACATCTGCCATGGACTTCTCATTTTCAGATATTTGAGTAAATGTATTGAAATAAAATATTTAAAGAATAGATGACGTGCTTTGTCTTTATTAGATGTTGCTACAGTATTCTGATCCAAATGCAAAACTTAAGCTTCTTATGACCCTTGTAAAAATGATTCAGTCTTTTATGGTTTTATGGTTGTTTTCATAAGGTAGAGTATATTCCTGCCCAGCCACTGTTTTTTACAACCATTGGACAAGTTTTGCTTTTAATACAAATTATTGTTTTGTATAGTTTGCACCGCAGGGCCCTTTGAACTTATGTAGGAGCTATGTGTAAATTGCACTTTAACTAGAGAGCAAATAAGGACTTAATGTCAGGTTAAACTGCAACACGAAGGCCGATTCGAAAGTTCAGGAAGCTCCTAGCTGTCAACAAGTTCCGGGTAACCTGCGTCTGATGACCTCAGCCCGTCGGCCCAACGTAAACAACGCTGTTTAGGACCGTGGCTAGCCACTGTTGAGGAACTTGTATTCACCGACTCTAAAATGGCCAAGAAAACGGAGGACTTCGGGCGTAAATGGCTGTGATTACGTTAAACAAATCTACTGCCAAAGTACGGTTTTATCTTAACTTATTTTAGAGTAATCAAGCTAGGTAGCATTAGCTTTGTGGGCAAGTAACGGATATTAGCTAGCTAGCTAAACTGCAACTTCCTATTTTTACTTCGCTGTGCCTGTGTGTTATGGTACTGCTGAAACACTAATGTTTTCAACAGAAATAGCTAACGTTAACCTCTTCCCAGCTGGCGGATGACATGTCTCTGAAAAGCCAATGTCACGCGTCTACTGTGTACACGATAGCTTTGTTTGTGGATCCACACCACAGCGCGGTAATGTGGGCCCTCAGCAGCACCGAGCTGTCAAGTGAACTCACGTTTCAAGATTAGCGTAGTCCAAAAATAGAGATTACGATAAGAGCTAAAAGTAAGGTAACCAGTCGATGCTATCTAAATGGCTCAGAAAACTACCCAGAAATTAACAGAACATGAAGTAACGTTAAGTCACCCTTTTTTGTACACTGTTGGTGTGGCTGTCACAAGAAACAACGACCGCTGTCAACTTATTTCCCCACCTCTCACCCAGAGGATGAAGCAGTACTGCCCGCCACCTGTGCCCCCTGTAGACATGTACTCAACATGGAACCACGTGTTTTGCTAACGCGAAGTCACTGTGTGCGAAGTCAGAAATCTGAGTGTACTCGGACACTTTAAGAAATGCACGATTGTGTAAGAAGTAAGTTGCTCGTAGCCTGGTTAAAGGTAGTGTCCTAAGTCTACACTGCTGAGGATGTAGAAGACGGTTCAAGGTATTGAAGATCGATGCGGACTTAAGGTTGAGCTGGCTTTTATGTAAGTCACGGAAGAGGTCTTGATAATACCACACCATATGTCAGAGGAAGGCTTTGGAATAGAAAGAGGCAAAACTGCATTAGATAATGGAACCAGCTGTTCGAGTCTTAGTAACATTTAAAAAAAAAAAACCTATAATAATGGCAATAGTAATCAGACTAAATATAATTAACTGTGTTGGTCGAGCAGGAACATGGGGTCAGTAGGTGGTTTTCAAACATAAATCCAAACCCCACAGCTTTGGAAGCGGAAAGCAATAAGAGGAGAGGGACGAGACCGAACAAAAGTACAGGAGAGGGAAGAAGTAGAGCTAGTAAAATGCATTAATGGGATAAGAATGCATACATATGGAAAGGAGGGGAGAGGAGCTCGGTGCATCATGGGAAGTCTCACAGCAGTCTAGGCCTATAGCAGCATAACTAAGGGATGGTTCAGGACTCACCTGAGCCAGCCCTAACTATAAGCTTTATCAAAGAGGAAAGTCTTAAGCCTACTCTTAAATGTGGAGATGGTGTCTGCCTCCTGAACCCAAACTGGGACCTGGTTCCACAGGAGAGGAGCTTGATAGCTAAAAGCTCTAGCTCTCATTCTACATTTGGACAAGTTGATCTCTCTTTCGGGTTTGTGTCAGTACACATGCCGCAGTATTCAGGATTAACTGGAGAGTCTTAAGGGACTTATTCAGACTAGTCTTTCTGCATCATTTTGAGAGCGGATGTGCCTGATTTTTGCAATGTCACGTAGGTGAAAAAGGCACTCCTTGAGCAAGATTCCTTAATTGCAGGCAGCACATTACCTGTTACATCATTTGGGCTGCCTTGTTGAGCGCTGAGAACATTATATTTCACAATATTTAAGCTCTATTTAATTTTCCAAATGCAACAGAATTAGTCCACCATATTGTTCGGTTTGTAATGCTTGAATACGTGTATTGTTACACTACTATCTGATTGATCTGACATAGTGACACTTTTGTTTAAAGGAGAAGGCAGCATTCAGGACGGCCGGATGAGCTATCTCTTCCACATTGTCGGTGATAACACACAAACGGAGACGTGTCGCCCACAGTCTTGAGCAGTTTGATAGCCAGGTTTCTAGAGGATCAGTAGAGCAGGTGGTGCGGAAAACCATTTTAAAATGCAGGATGTTGAGCCGTTGATCTTGGTCACACTGTCAGAAGTCTCAAATTCAGAATACCTTCCAGGCAAAATAATTGAGCTTACAAAGAATGTTCCCATAGCTCCTCAATTTATGCAGAAAACAATTAAATATAGTAAATGTAAGCCTGAAAGAGCTTTGTGGCTTGCTTTATAATAATCACTCACCTAATATGGCAACTGTAAATTCTTACACTGCACGACATTATCTTTCTCCGTCCATTCAGGTGTTGGTATCTAATGGTCCCCTGTTCTGTGTTTGTTTTCCAGCTCCATCCCTAGATCTGGATCCCTCTCTCCAGCCATGTCGTCACGTGTGTTGCTGCGGCAGCAGCTGATGCGAGAACAAGCCCAGGAGCAGGAGAGACGTGAGGCCCAGCAGCAGGCCTCTGCCTCTCAGCTCCGGACCTCTGACCCCACTCCAGCCATCTCTGTCACTTTGCCCCCAAATGCAGCCCGTCCCCCTCCAGCACAGGTGCCGGTGGAGGTGCTGAAAGTAAGAGTGTCCTGTTTTTATAATCGTATTTCTGTTCTTCAGTTCTTTTATTTAGTGAAGTCTGATTATGTCAGAATGTTAGCAATTAACAACCCTTTAAATGACCAGGTACAGACCCACTTGGAGAACCCCACCAAGTACCACATCCAGCAGGCACAGAGGCAACAGGTGAAGCAGTACCTCTCCACCACTCTGGGCAACATGGCTGTTACTCAGACCCTGGGTGCGTCCCCTGTGCAGCAGTCCAGTTCTGCCCCAGAAGTTGCTGCTACTGCCAGCAGTGCCCCTAACAGTCCTATGGCTCTGCTTAACATCGGATCCAACAAGGAGGAAGTATGGGAAATTCCTACTTTCCTGCCAGTGGTTTAAGTCCTTGTGTGTGGGTTTGGTTTGCTGGCACAGCACATTACACAATCCAGTCAGTAGTTGCCTTCCTGCAAAGTTACATCACATTTTTGGAGAAGTTAAATGTCTAACCTTCTGCTCACTCTGAGCTTAATTACTTTTTGTTTACTCTGCAATGATGTGCCCGAAGGTCCCACTGTGATGATGCATGCCTTTTGTCATCGTACCCTTGTCGGCCTGTTGTCACAATAAGATGTGAAATACTGCACTTCCAGTTTAACCAAGCCAGCACACTCTGTTTAAAATCAGGCCTCTTTAAAACTGTAACATAGGTTAAAATGTTTAGTGTTGGCATTCAGCCTTCACAGAGTTTTAAATTACAAAGCACACTATTCAAATACATACATGATTACTTTCACACTTTATCCCTGAGTGCTTTACTGACTTTCTCTCATCTGCTTCATCTAGATTGACGATGTTATCGATGACATCATTAGTCTTGAATCCAGTTTTAATGACGACATCATTACGTTGATTGACTCAGGTCTTCAGTTGCCTAGCACGGTATGAACATTGTATTTATTTAACCGTGAATACTTCCTTTTAAAAGTTTCCCCTAAAGTTCACAGGTTCTTCTCTAAATGTACAGTCACATAGTAGATTTAAGGCAGGTCTAACCCAATGACTTTTATACTCTTTTCTGAGAATATCTTTTATGTGTGGAATTCTGAAGTCGTAGGAGTAAATATACACTTTTGGCACTGAGTTACCATTCGTCACAAAAGTGCTGCCTGGGCGGGGCAAAGCTATTAGAGGATACAAGACCAGGAGAAGAGAGACAAAGTGCATTAAAATGTGCATAGCAGCTGGCAGGTTAACAAGTAATTTGTCTGATAGAAAGAGCTTTACCAAGTTTGGTGGAAAAACAAAAAAATGAGGATTATGGTGATGCTGTTGGAGGAAAAGAAAAAGAAGCACAGTGAGGTAAATGCTTTGTGTGATTTTTGACTTAGCACCAGGTGTTGTTATTCAGCTTTAATGTGCAAGAATTTCATATAAATGGTTGGATTTTGTGCTTTAGCTGTTGTTGTTATTGTACTGCTAAGTTGTAATTTGAAATATATAATTGTAATAACTGCACTGTGCAACATGTAGCAGCATTTATGTGATGCCACAGAAACCAGCTTTGATTCGATATTGAGCATGAGGAACCAGTCGCTCTTAACTTACAAGTAGGAATGGGGAAGGCCTCCTTTTTTACATATTTGCTTCTCGGTTTGTGGCAATTTGAGCATTTATGACAACATGTTCTATTCCCGTAGCTCCCAGGAAATCTGTTGGATGTATACCATAGCCCTGGAATGGCAGCGCCTACTCTCACTGTCAGCAACTCCTGCCCTGCTGATCTTCCAAAAATTAAAAGGGAAATTACTGGTAGAGCAACTTACTTTGATAAACAATCTTGACTTTTGGAGAACTTTTAATTATTTTGATAATGTTTCATTGTATGAAACACTGATGAATTTGTCTTTCAGATACAGATGCCAAAGCACTAATGAAAGAAAGGCAGAAGAAAGACAACCATAACCTCAGTAAGTCGAGATTTATTTCAACCATTTTGTGCTCATGCACCTTGAATCGCATTGAATTCAAAATCCCAACATCTTAACTGCAAGGTTTTGCTCTTCTGCCTTTTGTTTCATCTCATGTCCATGCATATAAAATAATCTCTGCCCGGTCGTTCTTGCTTCTCTACAGTTGAGAGGAGGCGGAGATTCAACATCAATGACCGTATAAAGGAGCTGGGTACTCTGATACCCAAGTCAAGTGACCCGTAAGTTGTGTCGGATTTTTCAGGAACATCATTTTTGTTTGCAGAATCACTAAATAAACACAAAGTTGTATTTGTACAGTAGAACTTAGTCGTTGCAACTGTTGTGTAGTAGAAAATGTAACCTTGTTTTTTCTGTTGTTGTGTTTCCTTCTCTCACTGCATCTACTATATATATTTACTGATATCACAATGATGACAGTGAGATGCGTTGGAATAAAGGCACCATTCTGAAAGCTTCTGTAGACTACATCCGGAAATTACAGAAGGAGCAGCACAGAGCCAAGGATGTCGAGATACGTCAGAAAAAGCTGGAGCAAGCAAACCACAGCCTAATGTTACGCATCCAGGTCAGTATTTGTTGGTCAGCTGTGTTATCTAATGCTTAAAATACAACAGCTATGTATAGTTCGACTTGTTGTGGTAGTTAAGTTTGGCTACATACCATAAATGCACATCGTGGACTGCTGAAGGTGGGTCCCCAAATTGCTTGTTCCTCGTGCCCGACCAGCAAATGCAAGCATGCACATGCACTCCACGGGCAAAGGTGATACACAGTTCTGCAGAGATAAGCAGATGTGTGGGAATCTGTTTTGTGTTGTAAAAACCTGTTTAACTAAGATATTGCTGCTAAAGTTAGCATGCAGTAAGCCTGCCTCCATGCACACGTTGCATGTTTTGATCCTTAAATATCTATAAGTTACTTAAATTTACCTCACAATCTGCCACGTCTTATTGAATGAAAGAGGTTGTCATGCTGTCATGTACATTTGGTCACAGTTATGCACCATAAAATAGCGATGTACCAGTAAAGTAGAAAGAAGAAAAAGAAGAAGATCTCTAACCTATGAAAACAGTTTGTTCATTCTTTCAAATGTAGAAAAAAAAGAAATAAACAAAACCACATTTGTTTACAAGAATGTCCACTAAGTGAGATTTGAGTTAGTAACAGGGCTTTGTGGCTGACAATCAGCCACAAAGAAGGAGATATTTCAGTACAAGAAATGTGCATTCAGGTGACAAAGCTAAGATTGACTATGTTAAAGCAATGTTTATTGTAGGGAAACTTCTTTTCACATGCAAAGTGCGTAAACAGCTCCTGAGTGTTCCAGGACATGGCGTCTGTATGTATAAATGTGCTGCTGTTCTTTGCAGGAGCTGGAAATGCAGGCACGGCTCCACGGCCTCCCCGCATCCACCAGCATTTCATCTGGTCTGATCTCAGATCCCTCCCTGCTCCAGCAGCAGCCTGTCCCACAGAGCGGCCAGGCTCTGCCTCCCTGTGCAGGAGGAGCCTCCTCCCAGAATCTGCTCAGTCTGAGCGCGGTAGCCATTGGACAGCCTCTGCCAGCCTCCTTCCTGTCCCCGCCCTCCTCGGACTCTCCCGCGGGAGTCACCATCAGCAGCCCCCTGGACCTGGGCAGCCTGAGCTTTGCCGAGCTAGACGACACCTCCGCATCAGCACTCTACCCTGACGTGGGCTTAGGAGACATTCTCATGGACGACGGGTGCACCCTGTCTCCAGAGAGGGTGGCTGAGCCGCTGTTTTCTCCTTTGTCACCAGGTGCCTCTAAAACCAGCAGTCGCAGGAGCAGCTTTGATATGGACGAGGACTTGTGATGAGCTCTGTGTGGCGGTCAGAGACTGTCTGCAGGGACAAGAATGTCAGGAAGTGCAGTCTGTCCTTTAATGAGTCTATTGATAGGACTGTAGAACGTAGAAAAGCAAAAATAGCTAACATGAAGATCAAAACTAACATAAATCAGGAGAAAGTAAGTTCTTGAATTTGTTTGCCATAAAGACCTAATTATTATTGTTTCCTGTTTGGAGCTGGAGTCAGAAGATTATGCCTGGGTTTATAAATGCAATCTTATTAAATGGAATATGGTATAATAGAGGCATGGACTTAGCATTAAGAAATAATACATTCTTACATAGTTTTTAAGGTTTAAGAGGGATATACAGTTTGTCTGAATTTATCATGTGCCCGTTTATAGGGAAGAAAGCTGTGAGGTTTATTTTTCACAACATTGGCATAACAAACTGAACAAGAGATGCCAACAGCCAGTATATTTAGTTTTTTGTGTGTTTTCTCAACTGACTGGAATCAGGGTTCATTAATAGCAGCCGCATGCTCCTCCGTGTTGGGTTTTGTTTCACCAGCAGCTACAGAAGGGATCTATGTAAAGTGAATTGGCACATTGTGAAATATTTACTGCATATTGTATATAAGAATATTTTATTTTGAGCAATTTTATTGCACCTTATTTTTGGCAGTCTATGCATTTTCTGAGAGCTTTTGTCTGTTTTTATTACTACTACACACAGTGGACAGCTAATGCCCAGGTTGCATGTATTTGTAATAAAATTTAAGCAGTGGAAAATCACTTGCTGCTGCAGCTAGTTAGCCAAAGCAGGACTTCTTCCAGAGTAGCTACAAAGTACAAATCAGTGTTGTATTTTTTAATATATTCACTCAGTCAATGGAAACGTGAGACAGAATAAGAAATGCAGAACAATTTTATCCTTTTTACAACAGTAACCGTTCATTACATATTGTTTTTTTTTTTTTATACCTGAATGATAGTTTGATAAGTAGTCTCTCTTGACTATAATCTTTGTTGTGAGTGATTGTTTGTCTCCATTAACCTCGGTGGTCACTGAGTGATTTTACCAGTTAGCATGTTCTACCAAGATTATGGCTTTTGTTTTTTGTTTTTTGACGATCAAAAGCGATATATCTAATAATGTGTTATTGCTCATTATAGTATGAATTCTGGGGGCTCTGGCCTTCTTTTAAACCAACCACTAGCCTCACCTCTGTAATAATAAGGTATAACTGTTTGTTGTGTGAAACCTGCAATGCAATTATTATTCTAGAAGACAGCCACAAGCTTAAGAAAGGCGTTTCATTTGTCAAATGCCTAACACGATATTATGTACAGTTAATGAAAAAAGTACTTGCATAAGTGTAGTTTTTTTTTTTTTTAACACTGACGCACAGTATTTGTTTTCCTCACAACCTCCATGTTATTGATATACTTAACTATTCTTTGAGCTGTTGTAACAAAAAAACAGAATTAGTTAAAGCAGCCAAAAATGTCTGTACTTTTTGGTGGTTACAGTGATTTTATGGTGTCCTCTCCTGTTCAAACTTTGTTTTTCAGCTCTGCTCCACAGCTCCGTGCTTCTTAGTCCCATAAGTACCCACGGTCAGCTTTCTCTGCTCATACACAAAATTAGACATGTCTTACCCTGACTTATATTTGAGTGCTAACATTGACTGTTAACCATAAACTGGTAGCATTAGTGTCTTGTCCCTGCAAGTTGGCTTGGAAGATTTTAACAAATAAATGATTTCCATTGGTTCACGTCTGGGTGTGGTTATTTGCTGGCAGCAAGCGTTAGTGGTAAAGCATTTGAGAGATTTCCATAGCGAGGTCCAGACACTCTGTAGCCTGAAGGCAGATGTCGCAGACGGGACAGTCGCACAGGAAGCAGCGAACACCCAGACACCCGCAGAGGTCACAGTGGTGGGTGACGTCCAGGAGAGACTGCAGGGTGGCGGGCTCGCAGCCGCACAGGGAGGAGCACAGCGACCAAACGCACTCATTACACCCTCTCACCGTGGCCAAGAAGCAGTCCAGTGGATGGCAGAAGAGGCAGGCCAAAAGGATTGCAGCACAAAGGTCTCAGGGAAGGAAAGGAAGTGAGCAAGAAAAGAGGGAAGCTTCAATTCAAGGAAAACGCTTTGAAGAAAGAGGAGATCAAGAAGGAAGGAGTACACCATCGGTTTGTGTTCTTACCGTCACCATCCGGCTCAGTGTGGGCCGTAGAGGTTTTGAGGCTTTCTTGGTTTTTGATCGATGTGAAGGACTGACTCAGTTCATAGACTGTGCATGCCTCCATGGTGGGTGGCTGCACGGCACATAGAGGCTGTGGCTGGTCTTTGTCCACAGAGCATGGGTTACAGATGGATACTGCTCTGGTCACTCCACCTTCTGGGTTATTATGCAAGTTGGTTTCAATAGAGGCTTCTGCACCAGATGTAAAAAAACAAAATAGTAAACTGCGAATCTTCACAAAAACTGCCTTCAATGGAACCAGACATTAATATAGAATTCATAGGTTAAGGTACCTGTTGTTTTATTTGGGAAGACATTCACAGAGATGTCAGTTGAAGATAATTCAGGCTCCTCTGTGGAGAGCTGCTCTGAAAAACTAGTGACTTCAGTCAAAGATCCTGTAAGACAGGAGGAGAGGAAAGTCCAGCTTTTCTGAACAACCGCAGTTCATTATCTACAATAACCCTCTGCACACATACCTGTTTGACCTGTGATGGAGCTGTCAGGTAAAATAGCCAACTTTGAAGCACTGGCTAGTGAGTCATGGGACTTTGCTTTGTCGTCATTTCCATCCATCTTTTCATTCATATCTGTAGAATTCAGTTTGGCATCCATATACTTAAATATATGATCTACTTCAGTCTTTTAGCTATAAGGGAGGACAAGAGAAACTAAAATTGTGAACCTGGACCTGTTCACCTCAGAGAAAAATTCTAAAATTTAATTTCCCTGAGCATAATATAAATTCAGAATAAGATCACTTGTAATGCTTTCATTTTTACATCTTTTCTCTTCCTAAACTGAAATTGTTTACTTATGTCGAATTAAACCTCATCTGTCTCTGTACGTACCACAGATCCAGAGTCACATCTGTAGCTGAGGTTTCGTAGCTGTTAGTGATGAGTGGACATCTTGGAAATAGCAGAGAAGTTAATCTATTATTAATCACCTCTTTGGAAACATTTATAATGGAGATGAAAGGCGGCACATGGATATCCTGACAGCTATATGAGAATGTAGGATCTTTATTTTACTTTTCATTAATAATTCATATTTTGAAGTAATACTTACCTTATGTGATTTTTTCGTATGTGCAGAAAAAACAGGAAAACACATATAGTTCAGTTTTGTGAAGTATTTCAGACACATTTTTAACTATTTGTTTAACAAATAACTGTTATGTATACCGTAATTGGTTGAGGATAGGCCTATACAAGGGATGTAAAATACGGTATAATGCAGCATTGTGTCAAATTGTATGAGTCAAATCAAATTGATTTACATTCAATACATTTCATTTCAGTTCGTCTGATGAATGGGATCAATAGCCACAGCCATTGAATCCTGAACACATTTTACGTGATCCATTACTGCAATGTACAGGAGTCCACAAAGCCAACTGTCCTTATTTCTCTCTGTACAATGTAAGAAACATATTGTATGTACTTACTTTTCGTGACGCGATGCAGCATGCAGACTTAATCACAGATGCATCCTTCAATGACTTGTCAGCTTTCAGCAGTAGAGGTGTAACTGCATCTCACAGGCTCTCTCTCTCTCTCTCTCTCTCTCTCTCTCTCTCTCTCTCTCTCCCTCCCTCCCTGTCTCAGTCTCTGTCTCAGTCTCTGTCTCAGTGTGTTTCTGTGAGTGTGTACCATGGTGTGTACAGGCAGGAACAAGAACAAGAATGGTTGTATAAATATTGCTTATTTTGACAGGCGTTCTACATCTAGTAGGCAATAGTATCTAATATAAGCGAGTATTTGCATGTTTAAAAGTAAAGCTATATTATAATATATATATATTCTACATATTGCTCTACAGGGGACAATATGACATGAGTCCTCTAAATGATTTGTCGGTGTATTTTCTGATTTTAAGAAACGCAATTTCTAAGAAATACAACAGGTGGCAATAGTGCAGCATTGGATGTTAACGTGCCACCACAGAACAAGACTTTCTTACGGATAGTACCGAGTTTAGCCGATTGTGAGCGATGTTACGTCCGTGTAAACCGTAACATAGCGTTAGCTGTCGAGCTAATAAGCTCAGTGTTTCGCGGTGTATCTTTTAGCTATATTTGCAGAACAACCGAAGACTGTACAGATCTGACATAATGGTATGTAAATCTTGTATATCTTTGGAATTGATTTGGCGAAGTTAGCCTTAATTTGGCCGACTAATAGGTTACACGACCACAGGAGCATGTTGTGATCCAACTTAAGTTATATCGTTTAAATCCGGTTTAAATATAAGTCATGTTAGTGCAGAATAGTATAACGTTAAATGTAACGTTGTATTTGTTTTGATAACATTGTGTTGTGTGGTACAGCAAAGTAAGCTAGCTGGAAAACGTTAACTGTAAGCTAAATGTTAGTTTAGCTCATGCTAACTGACTGCTATGCGAGCTAACTTAACGTTAGACACATAAGTGAACTTTCTGCATGTTTGTGTTCAAACAAAGCAGCTGTTAACATTACTGGGAGTTTGCATTTTACTGTGGCTGCTGGTTAGCTGGCCACCTTGTTATATTTTGAACATTAGCTGCATTTCAAAACTTCAACTTATCTTTCATCACAAGCTAATGATGATATAGCTAGCGAACATTAAATAACAGGGACCGTAACTGCATCATGGGAAATCGTGGTTTAATTGAACGACGTTAGCTAAAATCTAACTTCTGCTTTAAGCTTAGTTTCTAATGTTGCCCACGTATTGGTCCTTATACTGTTAAAAATGTAGGAGCGGGAGTGGAATTGGTTGTGAAAGCAAAGAATGGTCGGTTTTTATGTAGTGCATTGGGGACAGTGTACTGAGTAAACACAGCTGAACTCGTTGTTGGGGGAATTCCATGCAGTGATCAAGGTAGGAACAATTCCCAGATACTGGGCAGCAGACTTACAGCAGAGATACTCTGCAAACTAAAATGCCTAGTGGCTAGCTTCCAAGCACAGCAGGTACTTTAGAAACACACATGAAGCCTGCAGCTCTCCTTGAAAATAATGTCCTGCAGTGCAGCTGAGCATTTATAATAAGTAACGATATATTTCCATCAGCCATAATGTGGTTTGTGATTGTATTGTACTTTTCAGGACAGCGAAATGTCTGACATTGACCCTATACCTGGGCCTGAGACCAGCAGTATGGAGGGGGAGAACGCACCACTGTACTGTATCTGCCGGAAACCAGACATCAACTGCTTCATGATGTAATTTCTCAACACCAATGCTGTTTGTTTTAATTACTCCATTACTTGATATGGATGCAACAATGCTCAAACATTAATTCCTTAATTTGCTTCTCCCGCTGACAGTGGCTGCGATAACTGTAATGAGTGGTTCCATGGCCACTGCATTAACATCACCGAGAAGAAGGCGAAGGCAATCCGAGAATGGTACTGCATGAGATGCAGAGGTGATGAGAAAAACCTTCTTTTAGCAGAGCATTTAAGAGTGCCATTGAATATTTAAATATAACACAAATCAGCAAAAAAAACAAGACATTGTTGTGTTATTCTCCCTGTCACCAGATAAAAACCCTACACTGGAAATAAAGTATAGATCAAAGAAAAGCCGCGAGAAGGAAGCGGAGGCTGACAGAGAAACACAGTACAGCACCCCAAGTACTCCAGACTATAAGAGTGAAAGGCGGCGTGGATCTAAAGTAAGTTAGGCTTCTGACCTAAATACTTAGGTTTGACTGCAATATCTGAAGTATTAGGTGAATATGTAGCGTGCAAAACAATGCACATTTCTTCGGCTGCAAAGGCTCTCATTGTCCATTGTCTGATTTTCCTGAGGTAAAGCGGTCCGTCCGAATGTGTGGGGAATGTGAGCCCTGCAGAAGGACTGAGGACTGTGCTCAGTGTGACTTCTGCAAGGACATGAAGAAGTTTGGAGGTCCCAACAAAATCAGACAGAAGTGCAGGTTTAGGCAATGCGAGGTTCGAGCCAGGGTAAGTCGCTTTATTGTTGTTTTTGTTTTCAAAAAGATTATACCACTGAAGTGTAGAAGAATATCTAACATTTCTGCCCTGGTCATTTTGTATATTTTACATTTTCACCTTTGTTTGACTGATTGTATATTTAAAGATCTTGAAAGTTGTACCTTTTTAACTTGTCAATTCATTTAAACTTCTTTTACTGAAATGTTACTCTGTAATAATAACAATTCATATAGTATCTTGGTACCAGTTCAAAAACACAAAGTCGTTTTTAATGTGACACTTAAAGATCCATCTTTTTATGATGTTGAAGCGACTAGCACTCCCTGATCGCTGATGTATTTGTGCAGTCCCTTGTGGCTACTCTGGAAATGTGCCGCTTGTTGTTTTGTACAGAAAATGCTCCGCGTGAAGGATGAGGAAATGTCTTTGCAAGAAAGGAGGGACAACTACCACAGACGGAGACGGTACTCCGACGACTACGACAGTGAGGCGGATCTCTACCAGCAATACAAGGCAGCGGGACTTGACAGCAACATGGTAGCAGAACATTTGACATCATAATGTCGCAAAAAAACCCCAATAATTTTAGATGCACTCAATCTGCAGCTAAAACATCTGATCAGAAACTGTATGTTGAGCCATTTGTTTTGCTCTCCTCTCACCCAGGTGTGGGCTAGTGACGACGACGATGAGCCACCTTTTAGTCCTGTCATGCGTAAGAAAGCTGTGAAGGTGAAGCACGTCAAGAGACGAGAAAAGAAGTTTGACAAGAAAGTAAGACTTGTTTCCTCATAGAAATTATTTATTTATTTATTTATTTATTTATTTATTGAGGCTGCCAGGTGTCAACATGGTAAATGGTAGTAACACTCACATGGTAACATCCTGTCTATTACCCCGTCTTTTTAAACCATACAGAAGGAGTCACGACGGCACAAACAGAAGCAGAAGCACAAAGACAGAACTAGATACAGTGAGAAGGGCGACCTCCGGGATAACGGAGGGCAGCGTCAGTGTCTGGGGCCAAGCTGTGTGGAGGCAGCTAGATCCAACTCCAAGTACTGCTCTGAGGACTGTGGCATGAAGTTAGCTGCCAAGTAAGATCTCTTCCTTTCACCATTCATGCATTGGTGTACTTCTATTAGCGTAGTTACTGTATTCCAGACGCCTGATTAGAACAAACAAAACCAACATCTCAAGTGAATTTAAATAGCGTAGATGTTTTCATTTATTTGCTCGTTTTAGTTTTTTCTCGACAGACCTCTGTTCAATAGAGAGCCTAAGTCCCTCCCCTTCTGGTGGACCACCATAGGACCTTACTTCAGAAAAAATATGTACGGTAGTCAGTGGCAAGAGACGACTAATTTTTTGATCCTGTTTGAATTGTGCTCTGAATTACACACATGATAATGGTCAGTTTAAAATATACATTTCAAGGTAAAGAAAGCCGCAGTTTGATGTACAACTGTCGAAGTAAAAGACTGTGAAAATACATAATTACAAAATTACAAAGTTGTGAATGTGACATCTTAACTTTTTCTCTCAATGACTGAAGCTAACGTCAAAGAACTGACATAAGATGATGTGATACAATTAAGGCTGAGCAATAAAACAATAATAATGGCAATATCATTTTCTTCAATAACAAATGTTCAATATATCGTCAACAAATGTTTGAATTAATTTGGACCACAAACGAATTAGCACTTAAGTTTTGTATTAAGATATTTATTTTGTTGAGGAAAAGGGGCTGAAAAAAACATTTACTAATCGTATTTTTTGAAAAAAGATTTTTATCATAATGGTTTTGAATGTTCTACCTCAGACTTGTGAAGTGACCCACAGTTTGGCATCAAGTGTTTGTCACATTCTGACCATAAAGAAAAGTTTAATCACACAGTTAATCATCTGGTTTCTTTAATTTTCACTCAGGAGCAAAAATCAGCCTTTAAACTTCAAAGAAATAATGATTTGACATTTATCGTGATAATCATCGATGTCGAATGGTATGACATTTTTTCTTTTTATCATGAAAACATTTTTGGCCAAATCGCCCAGCCCTAGATACAGTGCCCGAAAGTTGTTGGATTAAACACATCTGGTGAGAGAGATTTCTGCGTGGAACATAGCTAAGTTATCTAGCTAGCAGCAACCAAGCAATGAACGTTAGCTAGCATTACCACATTAACATGTTGGTAATGTATATTCGAGTGACGCAGCCGCTGTCAGCTCCTGTATTGTGTGACCCCCCATCACCGATCAGTCACGTTGTGTGAACGTCACAACGACATCAAGACTCCCGTCACAAGACGGCAAGTCGGCCGACGCTGAAAGTCGTGTAGTCTGCGCAAGCCTTAACTTTACTGATTTACGACCAACTGCAACTTTCTTGACGGACAAAAGTATCTTTTAAAATTGACAGACATCATATATGTAATTCAGGACACAGTTCAAACAGGATCAAAAAATAAGTGTCTCGCCATTGACTACCGTACATATATTTTTCCGAAATAAGGTCCCATAGTAAAGGTCATGGTCAAAAACTGCTTTCTTATGGCTGTTTGTATTCAAATGATAGTGCTATTGCTCCACCTAGTGGTAAAATAATTACATGCTGGTTAAAATGGTGCAGTTTTTTGATTTCTTATATATTGTGTGATTTATTAGTATGATGTATGCTTCTGTTGGGAACTTATGGACATGAACTTATTTTTAAGCTCACAATTTGAAAAGAATAACTATCACTATTTATTTATTCTACTTCTGCCTTTGTCTATCTCCTTGTTGAAGTGTTTTATGGATAGTTTCTCTGAGGCTTTTCCTCTCAGCTTTCTAAATGAGGATCAAAGGGAAATCCTGAGCATGTTGTTCTTTTTTTAGCCTTAAAATGCGTTAATCTGCGTGAATTTTCATCCACAGCCGGATCTATGAGATCCTCCCTCAGCGCATACAGCAGTGGCAGCAGAGTCCATGCATCGCTGAGGAGCATGGTAAGAAGCAGCTGGAGCGCATCCGTCGGGAACAGCAGAACGCCCGGCTCCGCCTTACAGAGATGGAGCGACGCTTCCACGAACTGGAAGGCATCATCGCTAAGGCCAAGCAGCAGGCGGTTCAGCAGGACGAGGAGGTGAGCTGGCAGAAGTCTGCGCGCTTGTTTATTCAGTTGCGCGGCTTGTTCTGTTGTAACGCAATAGATCCCTGTGTGTCAGGGTGAACTTTAATTTTGCTCTGGTCGTTTGCAGGTGAATGAAGGTGATAGCGAGGACACAGACCTGCAGATTTTCTGTGTGTCTTGTAGTCATCCCATCAATCCAAAAGTGGCACTGAGACATATGGAGAGATGTTACGCAAAGGTAATTATTTTTCTTGTTTCTGCTTCTAATCACCAGATTTAAGCATGAACAGAACCTTATGTCTGCAACATTTCTTTCTCCACTGATTATCTTGGCAGTATGAGAGTCAGACCTCCTTTGGTTCTATGTACCCTACAAGAATAGAAGGGTAAGAAAAGCAAACACTCAACGTGTGCAACTATTTCCCCTAGTTCAGTTGCTTCAACAACAATGTTTTTGTCCCACAGAGCAACCAGACTCTTCTGCGATGTGTACAATCCCCAAAGCAAAACATATTGTAAGAGGCTTCAGGTTTTGTGTCCAGAGCATTCCAGAGATCCTAAGGTCAGTGGAAGCCCCTCAGCCACTTATAAAACTCATGTTTCACAAAAAAACTACCTACTCACTATATAAAACTTGAACTATTCATCAAGTAGCGTTTGTGTGGCGATTATTTGTTTTCTTTTGTTCGGTGACTAGGTCCCAGTGGATGAGGTGTGTGGGTGTCCTCTGGTGAAGAATGTGTTTGAGCTGACGGGAGATTACTGCAGGGTCTCTAAAAGGAAATGCAACAAACATTACAACTGGGAAAAGCTCAGGAGAGCAGAGGTGGACTTGGAACGAGTGAGGGTGGTAAGTCAAACTTTGAGACTGTAGTTTGTTTTTAGTGACCAAACTTGTGACATTTCCTGGACCTTCTGCGGAATTACAACTTGGAACGTCAAAAGTCTCACATTTGGTGAAATTTGCATCTGTCCGATCAGATTAGGAAGAGTCTCTGTTGATATCTCCTATCTGAAATTAGATATATTCAAAGGAAATGCATTGTAGTCCTCAACCCACGAGTGAGTGATTTTAAAGATTAAATCTATTCTTCTAACGGGTTTATTTTTTCACCCACAGTGGTACAAGTTGGACGAGCTCTTTGAACAGGAGCGTAACGTCAGGACTGCTATGACCAACAGAGCTGGCCTTCTCGCTCTGATGTTGCACCAAACCATTCAGCACGACCCGCTGACAACCGATCTGCGGTGCAACAAGGATAGGTAGTCGACCTAGTCTGCATCAGTCTGTCGAACACTGTACATAACGTGAGATTTGAGTGTTGAAGATTTAAACTTGTAGAACAATAACATCCATGTGGATGATTTTATAACTAGAATTTTTTTTATCTTTGTATGATACTAAACTATAAAAGGTAAATGGATCCATATTTTTCCTGACTGTGGTAGATGAACTACTGCTGATTGAAAACTGCTGTTTTTGGTATGATGGCTCTAAATAAACACCTCAAACATGCTCCAGGCGATGTATGTGTGTGTGTAAAGTATACTATATATAGTATGTTGTTCTATGTTACTTTCATTTACCCTTTACACAAAGGTCAGTTTGTCTTTTTTTTTTTTACTTTCTCCAACAGATAATAAAACTATTAATGTAAGCCAACTTATATTTAAGAGTGAGTTAATTGTGTTTCATTTGAATAAGCACGGTTTCCTTCAAGTGCACCTCCTAAATGTATGCTTCTCTGACCAAAACCTGTGCTTTAGAGACATACAATATTGTTTACATAAAGAGCCAAACTATGATTTTACATAAAACATTGTTAATTTTAATTGCATATAATGGTTTCTAATCCATGCGCTGCCAAGACAACCCCGGGATTATCCATCAATTATGATTACAGACAAACACGATGCTCCCAGCGGTCTCATGTGCTCACTTTCTAATACCCCGTGAAAGCAGCACACTTAAACAACAAAGATGAAGCATATTAATAAAGATGGTGCTGGCAGGAAGAGAGAAATCACTCCCTAGTTTTTACTTTTGTGTACGCTATTCCTCATCTTACTTCTCTCTCCTAAAGAATGTTTGAATGAAATGTTTGTGTTGTATTTGTTAATGAGAAGTAGCCTATGTGTTGTTTAATCTGTAAGCGGGGTCAGAAGCATCCATGGATTTGACTGAATCCATTGACTGAATTTTTTTTTCAAAAAACTTTATTCAAAATTAGGATATACAGAAGGAAAACAACATCTTCTGTACATCGGTAAAGTCTATGGACATATCACAAATAGGCCAGGGAGGTCAAGGGTTATGGAAAAAAAGTATAATTTTAACAAAAGCAAAAAAAAAAAATTAAATATCTTGTAAAGCTTACAGAGGCCATATGATTTAACAGCTTTTTTGTTTTTACACTTGGATATTGAAAGAACATAGTGCTTAATGTTAGCAGCAAGCTCCAAAAAGCTTGGTTTCTTTTTTAAGAATTTTGACTTGTGCAAATAAAATTTAGTTAAAATAATAAGTAAATTGATCACATAATATTCTGAATATAATTTTTTGTCATGTTTAGTGAATCCAAACAATACATTTTCCCACCGCAATGCAAATTGAGGGTAAATATGGACAAAAATAAATAGAGAAACTTTACTCCAAAGTTTCTTGGTATGTGGGAAAGACCAAAATAAATGCACCAGTGTTTCATTGAGTTCTCCACAGAAAGTACAGCTGATGTCCAAGTCCTTTTTCAGTTTTTGCAGGTAACCGTTAGTGGGATAAGATCTGTGAAGCATTTTGAATGAGATCTCTTTGACTTTGTAGGTTAAAAAAAACTTGTGTGGCAAAAGCCAAACTTTTTCCCAACAAATCTCTCCAACAAATGAAGACCAATATGATACAGCAGCGGGTGTACTCCTAATGTCCTGTTGAAAAAGTTGACGAATGGCCTTGTTCTTACTTTTAGGTTGCAGTGAAAAACATATATTCCCAACAGTTGTTTCTTTCACAACCACCAGTGTTGGGGGATCATCAAATCCATTAAAACCTTTGAAAAGTGAGATGACAGCTGAAGGTATCGCATCGAAGACGATGGAGAAGTCCTTTGGTGAAACAGGGATACCATGGTGATGAATAAATTCAATGTAGTTATAAAGTTGACCACGCTGGTTAAATAATTGATTTACAAGTAAAATATTATTGTCATATCACTGTTGAAAAAAAAAAACAGATTTGTTTTTATACAAAATATATCTGTTGTTCCAGATATAAAACCTATGGGGAGTGAAGTTGTGCTTGTAAATTAGGGACCAAGTCAGTAGCATTTGTTTGTGAAACGAAGAAAGTTTCAGACGCAGTTTGGTCAAGCGCCGAAAAGTATCAGAAGTACACTACGCTGAAGTGAGCTTCCGATTCGGCAGTTAAGGGGAACTTAAGTGAAAGTTAAATTACCTTGCTGAGCGACTGTTGTCCGTTTTTTGCACCTCTTACTGCTGTGAAAGCTGTTCGGCATTTTAGGCAAAGTCCAGATTTGAGAACTCTAATGGTTAAATCGCCTTTATAGTATTATCACAAAAAGAAAAAGTTTTCACAAATCTGAAACTTATGTTTGATTGAAACGTTAGCGTCTGTGGAATAATCTAGTCCAGATCTGAAAACTCTAGGTACAGTGTTTTTTTATATGTGGACCTGGTCTAATGTGGTCTACATACAAAAAAGCAGATAAATCGCCCTTTTAAGTAACGTTATTTTCACAAATTGAATAAAGGTTTCACAAATCTGAAAATATGTTTTAAAGAAACGTGTCTCTGGGACAATCTAGTTCAGATTTGAGAGCTCTAGGCATAGTGGTTTTGTATCTGGACCAGGTCTGATGTGGTCTACAAGCAAAAAAACCCCCAACAACAGATAAATCTCCCTTTTTCATTTTCACAAATAAAATAACGTTTTTTCCAAGTCTAAAAAAGTGTTTCAGATAGCGTTAAGGCTTTGCCTAAAATGCCAAACAGCTTTCACAGCAGTAAGAGGTGCAAAAAAACGTAATGTAAATTAACTTTCCCTTAACTGCCGAATCGGAAGCTGTGAATCGGTAGCTGATTTCAGCGTCGTCGACTTGGTTAGGAAAAGGTCATAGTTTGGGTTAAAACAAGGTTAAGGTTAGTCAAAGTAGGAAGTTATATCAGGGGACGTGTCGTATGGTGGTGAAGTGGGTGTGTTGTATAGCCTGCGAGACTGCAGACAGACCCTGTTCTTTTAATCGTTGGCCCCGCCGCCGTTTTCGTTATTGATGCGCGGTGGCTAGCTACGTCAGCACTATCTCGTAAAGTGAAGCGGTGCCTATTGTGACCAGAGTGCCAAGCATCTGGGGAGCCCTACTTTAAAGGTGTGTGTGTGTGTTTGTAGGTGCACCTCACCGCCATTATTTGTAAAGTAGTAGCGATACACAACTGCTAACTCAGAGGAATAATTTAGGCACAACATTAACATTAGATGGGGGGGACGCTAACGTTATAGCTAACGGTGGCTAACGTTACTGCTGCTATTGAGTTTCAGTGTTCACGCTCCAGCTAACCTAACGTAAGTAGTAACTTTATTGACATTGCACTGCTTGTTTTATGTAGTATGTCTACGTAACTACGTATTAAGAAATAATCGGCAGCAACATCCGACAATCGGAGCACTTTCAGCAGTAACCGCACTTTCAGCAGTTGAGGTTAGCTAGTGTCGCTAACGTTGTGTTTGCTGGCTAACGCCACATACCAGTGGTAACGGTAACGTTAGCTAACTGGCCGTGGAAATGCGGTAGCTATGTATTTACGGAAGCTTTCCATCTAGATCGGGGCATGCATCCCGTGTTTGTAACGTCAGTTAGTTTGCGTGGTTAATAATTTTAAATGATGTGTTAACCATACGTGAATGTCTGCTCGTTAAGTCACGTTACTATCGAGTAGCTCGTTGTTTTAAGCTAACAACACCTTACAGTAACATATCCATTAAGCTAGGTTAACCGTTAACATACTGAACTGTACATCGGCGTGTTAGAACTCTGGTCCTAAACAACGTTCTCTTTTCCCCCAGGTGCAGTGATGAAAAAGTGAGCAACTGTCAATCACCCTGACAGCTCAGCCTCCTTCCCAAACCAAGGTCAAGGGCTAACTAATACATCCACGACGGACAATGCGAAAATACACCACTGTGAATGGTATCCAGGATCGATTGTAGAGGGTATCTTATTTGTCTCCAGAGAAACACGTTGGACCATTTGTCGCCTAAATTGGTGCAGGAATGAACGAGGAACTACTTGAGAACGCGGCCCCTGGCCAAGAGCCTGTGGAAGAAGATGTGGGACAAAGCACAGAGAAGAAGACCAGTGAAGCAGAAAACGCCTCTGAGGCAGCACCAGCACTGGAGCCTTTGGCACCCTCAGACAGACTCTGTATGAAGGAAAATCCTAGCTCAGATCCAGTAGAGGAAATTCCGGGAGAGGCAATGGAAGCTAAGGCCACTGGTGGCGAGCCTCCTGTTGACTGGTTTGAGCCACTTGAGGAGGATGATGATGCCAATAGCCTTGATAGGAATGATGCAGAGGAAGAAAGCCTGGCAGGGGAAAGTGAAAGGAGTGAGAGTGTGTTGGGCACCGAGAAGAACTTGACCAAGATTTATCAGTAGGTTGAATAATGTTGTTTTACTCAAGTCTGTCATGTAAAAATAGTGCAGTATGCTGTCACATAAGATGTTCATTCAACGTTTTGGTTGTCTGCAGAGCCTTTATATGCCGTACCGTAGTCTGGACACTGAGCAGCATTATCTTTGGATTACATTTAGATTTTTATGGCCATGCCCAGGCACAAGGGCCACATAATGATCTTTATCAATTCTGAGGAACTGCCAATGATTTTGAATGTCTTTGTATTTGTTTAAATAATCATCCCATCTAAAACCTGCAGGTAACTTTGTGCCTCAATCTATTGAAAGAAAATTAACTCACATAGCTTAGCATATTAACATTTTCTAGGATGGCTTCCTGTGTACTTTTTTTTTGCCATGGGTTATACAGATTTCTAACATGAATAATTCCCATTTCCTCTGTTATATCCAGGCTTCAGGTTCCCCGCCGTAAGCGTTCACATCCTGATGAAGGATGGGTTGACTGGCCAATACTTGGAGAGGGTTGGAAACGCAAAGAAGTTGTTCGGCGCTCCGGTAGTAGCATGGGACAGAAGGATGTGTATTACATGAGGTAAATACTGGATAGTGTCGTGCTTAATTTTCTTCTTGTTTAACCTTCAATAAGTGTAAGTAAATAAATCACCACTACCTGTGGCCTGTACTACGAAGCGAGGTAACTGGCTTATCCAGGTAACTTCATGAGTAACTTTGTGACGTTGGGTGTAACTTTCCGGTTAATCCGTACTACGAAAGGTGGATAGGTGTTACCTGAGGTCTGTTGCCATGGCAATTTACGCCACATCTCTAAACTGCTCCAAGCAAGTTTTGTTCATGGTTAACTCGAGGTTATCC